CTAGTCCGCCATCTTGCCCCGCCTCTCCTGACACACTCTTATTAATTGAATTTCCTAAGACCCTTGCCCCAGACCCCCACAAGACTTGCTGAGTTTGCTGGTGTTCATACTTTAGAGGAGTTTTCTTCTTATAACTCCTTTTGGTCTATTTACATTTTATCAACCTTCTTTCAGTAGCCTTGGCCATCAATTTATAGCGAGGTTTAAACAAGTGACACTGGCTTTCTTTGTTGAACTTGCATAAATAATAAATACCAGAGTTGCAAATTCAAATGCCCTCAGGGCCAGGCTGATCTAGTGAAAGTGTGAAACATCTGGTATAGCATAAAGAGTGTGTGTGTGTGTGGGGGGGGGAGGTGCTGGGAAGGGGAAGATGAGCTGTATTAAATAGAATAGAGTCCCTGCAAAGAGGCATTAAAATTCAGTTTAAGACATAATACCATGAATGTGAAGTAGAATATAACTTCAGCACAAATTCTGTTCACAAGCCACCTGGTAGGGGCTCCTGTTTTATGTTTTATAAACAGAGGAATTAACCTGAAAACTGATGCATGGTGTGGATGTTGAAATATCATCATGGGGACTGAATTTTGGGCAGGTGACAGTTTGAAACATTTCTGTGGTACCACACAAACTTATTTATCCTCTAAAGGTGTGGCCCTTCATACTTTGTGATGACCACTAAAATTCAGGGGAGATTAACAACTCCCTGAACTCTAATCATAGCCGATAAGAACTGTCAGAGTCCTTGTAACACTTAGCACTTACTCTACCCAAGCATTTAAGGCTCAAGTGGGCAAAAACATTTTCATAATAACACCCTTTGTGAAGTGTTAATGAAATGCTTGTTATTGCAGTCAGGTTAGGTGTTACCAGCATGGGTGCACAGAGACAAAGGCTCATGCTGTACTTGTTGACTAACTAGCTATGGTTTATCATAGGAAAACAGTGTGCATATGGGTACTGAATTCATATACATTATGGAAATTGTAAATGAATACAAATATTACAGTATTTGTAAAGCTCTAAGGCAATTTCTATATAGGTACAAGTTTATTATTTAGTTGGTTTCCCCAATCATTTTACCTGAATTCTGTAAGGCAGTGGTTCCCAAGCTTATCTGTAAACTAAAATCACTTCAAAATCTACTGATGACTATATCTCACTCCCAGACATAATGATTTAATTTGTGTGGGGGTAGCCTGGGTATTGGAATTTTAGAAAAGATTTCCAGAGATTCTAATAAGTAAGCAAGTTTGGGATTCATTTTTCTAAGGTGATTACAAGAAGTTTGGCAGGGGAACATCTTGATATATGCTATGCAGCCATAATGGATATTAGTGGTTCTGTAGTAGAATTATCACTTTCCATGCAGGATCTCCATGCAGGACTCAGACATCTAATTTAATTCCTAGTCAGTGCATCTCATGCCCAGCCGCCACCCATCCATCATTGAAGGCTTTGTGTGTTGCTGTAATGCTGAACAGATTTCAGCAGACTTTCCAGAATAAGACAGACTAGGAAGAAAGGACTAGTGATCTACCTCTAAAAATCAGCCAATTGAAAACTGTCTGGATCACAAAAGGTCCATCCACAACCAGTCAGGATAGCAGGACTAGGCACCATTTTGTGCTGTTGTATAGGGGGTGGCCATGAGTCATGGGCCAACTTGATGGCTGCTAACAACAACAATGGAGTCATAACTTTCAAGTAGACGTTAAGGCTGAAGGGAAACCAAGGGAAGCAATCTGGTGGTGGGAGAAGGCCTGAAGCCTATCAGGAGGGCTGGCCCTTTCTTTGAGTCACAGCACCCAAGGACTCACAATACCACAATGGTAATTGCACAGTAAATGTCACCTAAATACTACTAAGTTTGGAACTTATTTTGGGTGTTTTATTGAGCAACTTTGACTATGAGTTCCTTCTGATACTCCCAACCGTTTTCTCCAAAAGTACAACAGCCTTGCTGGAAAGCTGACAAATATCACTATGTGTGCCAATGATTTGGCTCAAATGATTCAAGAATGTTTTCATTTCCTTTTTCCAGTTCTTGCTATAAAAGAAGGCCTATCATTTCATAATTTTGTCCTCTCTGATACAGTGGCATCTACATAAACTTCCTACCTATCCATCCTGTCAGCAGGAAATGACCCACTTCCCCAGTTCTCCATGCACTTTAACTTGCTTCTTTACTTCTCATTAAATGTTAGTAAGAATTGTTGCCATTTGCCCTGGGGGTGGCTTAGTTTTAGTAATTGACTTAGACAATATGGCTGTCAACTGCTGTGAGATAAAAGATGAAGCATGTTGAATTATGACTGCTAATATCGTTAGTGTTACTTAATTTTTTAAATTATAGTGTTTCATAAATGAGAACATCTTAAAATGTAGTTCATAATTTACATTTTCTGAATGAAGACATTTTACTAATTTTAACATCCCTTTATTTTCACTGTAGTAAGTCATTCCCACAGCTCAGCCAAACATGAAATGATAACAAGATTCTGTATTCACTGTCTTACATAGTGAACTATTTAATTAAGGGTCTTATTTATTTATTTTTTGTACAAATGAGGGTAGGTTTAAATAGGTCACTCTAAATTATAAATATCCCTGATGTTAATTTTGCATACTTTGCCAGAATTTTCCCTGCTTATAAGAATTAAGATAGGAGTTACGTGAATTACGTATAGTGATGAAAACTTACAAAGAAAATTTACATCCTCTAAGAAATACTCAGGAGCTCTGGTACGTAGTGCCTAAGGCACTTGACTGCTAACCAGAAAACTGGCGGTTCAAACCCACCAGCCACTCCTCGGAAGGAAGGTTGGGCAATCTACTTCCGTAGTGATACCACCTCGGAAACACAAGGAGGGGTTGCTATGAGTCGGATCTGACTCCACGGCAGTGCGTTTGGTTTTTGGTTTTAAGGAATACCTAGGAGCTCTGGTGGTGTAGTACTTAAAGCATTCAGCTGCTCACCAAAAGGTCAGCAGTTCAAACCACAAGCTGTTCTGTGGAAGAAAGATGGGGCAGTCTGCTTCCATAAAGATTTATAGCCTTGGAAACCCTATAGGGACAGTTCTACTCTGTCTTATAGGGTCACTATGAGCCAGATTTGTGTTTTTTTTTTTTTTTGGAGGGGAGGAGAGTTTAAGGAGAACCTGTAAGTTCTGCTTTGCAAAAGATGACAGGACTGGTTTGAGGGGGTGAATGATAAAATAAGTGACTAAAAACAGTGTTGAGAAATACTGAATTTAAAAAATACAATCCTGATACAAGGTAGATAATTTGAATTGTTAATTTTTCACTTCTATAAAGCTTTGTCTCATTCATAATCTTCCCTACTGATGGACTCTGAGTTCTAAATAATGTCCATGAATATTTGGGGTAAAAATAAGACATTCATTTAACTAGTTTTCTTGCCATACACTTTTAGTTCTGTTTATTTTAGTACAGTCCAAGCTGGAGGTTTTCTTATTAAAATGCTAATTTTGTATTCTCTAAAATGGATCCCATGCAGGAAAACATGAAGAAGAGGGAGTTTGGGCCAACTATGCCATTTAAGAGACATACTTAGGAAGCAGATGAATAAAGATGACATTTTCTTAGTCAATGACAATTATCAGAAGCCTCTCATCTCATCTTCCTGCTGTGTTATGTTTCCACAACAGTTCATTGACTTGATAAAAGTAAACTCAGAGACAATTAAGGTGTGACAACAAAGAAATTCAATAGCAAACCCAGGGGAATTGTAAGGTAAGGTAAATGTAGTTTTTAATTCAGAAGTTTGAGAAAACAGCTGTACAAGAACAACAACTTTTGATGCGAAGTGGATCTTGACAGAAGCTCAGATCCCGATATTTCAGTCCTGTTCATTTGTCAACATGAAGGCAAGACAGAGTCTTATGGGATTAAGCAAACTCCATGGCTAAAAATATAGTTTGACATTTCTTGAATGCACTTGACAAGACTCCACATAAAATTGTATTAGTATTCTTTCCAGCTGAGAGAGGATTTTTAAGGGAGCCTGATTTATTTTATTCAAATTCAAATTTAATCTTTGGTTGCCATGACATTTAAAAAAATTAATCATATATTGTTGAATTTTAAATGTTGGGTTTAGGGGTTTTAGTCCAAGTGGAAAATAATGAACTTTAGAAATGTTACTGTAAAAATTAAATTGCATTTGGGAGCTTGGACAAAAAAATTTAGCAAGTCCTGAAAAAGTCAATTATAAAGAGTTTACACAATAGAAAAAGTGATTATTGACCATCCTGTCAATAGACTTCATTGTCTGCCCTGCTCTTTGGCAGCCTTGCTGTGGTACAGCTGGCTGACAGATTGTAGCTAATGTGCAAGTGGAGAAGAAAGGTGGCGAGGAGAAACAGGGTTGCATAATATGATACACCAGTAGCCTAAGAGACTAACTAGAGTGATGCAAATGAGAAGGCCAGTACTGGTGGGAGGAAGATATCTTTTGGGATGATCTGTGGTAATAGAGATGATTGAGGGGAGGGGAGCTGGAAGGTATTTTTTAATGGAGAGGTAATTGGCAGGAATGGTATAGATCCTGGAATGACATTTCAACAAGGAGGGCAGTAAGTGGCAATCATTGCTAATCACCAAATATTATAGCCATGGTCGCTGGTACCTGTAGAGATTCAAAATGTTAAGTCTGTCTCTTCAGATGCAATGTCTGTTGCTTTTTAAAAATTCCTGCTTTTTTCTTTGCTTTTCCTTTCCTTTGAAAAACATTACTTGCTAGGTTCTTGGGCTCTAGTTAGTTTGTGTTCTGTTTGCCTGCTGGAACAACAGACTGCAATGTCCAATTGCATTATTTATTCTTTAAATACACCTTAAAAAAAAAAAAAAAAAACCATCCCAAACTGCAGATGGTTTAGTTTTCTAAAACAAATGCTAAGGTGTGAATAGTTAATCAGGCTGAAACAATTGCAGAGCTATGCTTTTGAAAGCTTACCAACTGCCAACCTCACTTTTGATGTTAGCTTTTTTTTTTTCTCCCCCCACAAAACAGTGGGTCCATAATTTCTAATGAAGGCTTTGCCCATTCATGCTTGAAATTCATGAGTGTAATGTGTAGCCAGATAATCACAAGACTTGGTGTCAAACTGTGAGGCATATAATTTCTACATGCCTTGAATTAGCACTTGATACTCTAAAACTTAAATATATTACGGTTCTCCTTAAACATGCCATTAAAAGTAAAGATGCTGACAGAATTGTTATTAATTACTTTGTGACATTGTTGAAAACATCAACAGAGTGATGGATACTAAAAACTAATTTGAAAATAAAATCCAAGCCACCAGATGCCTGGTGGGAAACAAAGTGCTGGTGTGGAAAAGACAGAGAAGGCACAGAAACAAATGTTGGCAATTTAGGATAATGCTTATTTCCACCCAGGTTTCTACTTTCAAATCAGAGAGTGGATGAAAGCACAAAAGTCCGGGCCAAAGGAAGGCTGAGAGAGAAATAGCAGATTGTAAATTAGCAGGACTCTGTTACTAACCTGAAAGCAACATGACTTTTCCTGAAGGTGTTCCAAGGATAAAAATAAATAAGTGAGAATGTGAAGATGGCCAAAGGACTCCCTGGTGCCAGCCTCATGGATTTGGAAGCAGCATTAGCTCTTTTAAACCACCAAGTCAATTGAATGGTATTTTATTGATCATCTAAATTACTTTGTTAATGTATTAATTAATTCTTTTAGAGTTAAATTATGAAGCAATGAGATAGCATGAAGTACTCTTTTTCTTTGTCCATATATATGCTTTATACAGGTACACATTGTTTAATGTTCACAATGCATTCTGTGAACTAGGATGTTCGGCAAACACCCGTGTCCAGGGTATGTGTGGCTCCTGAGTGCACTGGCCCGGGGACTGTTGTGCACCACAGCCCAGGTGCTCCCTCTGTGGATGCCTCAGTGAGCACTTGGTAGGGTCCCACCCAGCTTTCACCTCCTTCTCTGCTGAGTCAGCTGGAGGGAAAGCCAGCTTATCTGCAAGCGTCTGCCCAGGGCTGGGATAGTGCAGGCCGAGGGTGCCCCAGCCAACGCTGGGATGCCCCAGCCAACGCTGGGATGCCCATGCACATAACTTTTCATGGGTGCCCTACGTGACTACACCAGGCAAAATGTGAGGACTAGACCTGCTGAGTTGTGGGAGTTGATGGTGGTGGATTAGAAGTTTGGGCCTGGGCCTACCTCACTGCAGACTAGCTGGCCTCCAGGCAATGGGCATCAGCGGGACAGAAGTGGGACTCCAACCTTCATCTTAGGTGTCTGGCATCCTGGCACTCAGACACCTGGGTATCCTGGCCCATAGACATATATGTGGTCAGACGTTGCCCAAATGGACATTAAGTAGCACATACCTGTATATTAGTACAAGCATATATGTTGACATGGAGGTCTGGTGGCACAGTGCCTAAGGCATTTGACTGCTAATCAGAAGGCTGGTGGCTCAAACCCACCAGTCACTCCTCAGAAGGAAGACTGGGCAATCCACTTCCGTGGAGATACCACCTCGGAAACCCAAGCAGGCATCGCTATGAGTCACAATCAACTCTATGGCAGTGAGGTATTTTTTTTTTTTAAATCTTTATAAGAATGTATTTTTTTAAAAAAATGATAAAAGTATGTAATTAGTTACGTTACAAAATAATCCATCAATAGATTTGTATAAAGCTTCTTTTAAGAAATAATGTTATTTAATTAAAAGATATATTGATTTGTACATAATTTTTCCAGGAATACAATTATTGAGTAAGGTTGGATTTCATTATAAGGTTTTTAAAAAAATACCATTCCACTGCCCTGATTCACATTAGTGATCTGAAAGAATTAAAATTGCTGCCATAATAACAACAATATATAAAATTTATTGATTGATTAAGGGTAGTATTGCATAACCAATTGTTGTTGTTGTTGTTGTTAAGTGCCGTCGAGTCGTTTCTGACTCATAGCGACCCCATGCACAGTAGAACGAAACACTGCCCTATCCCGCGCCAGCCCCACAATCCCTGCTATACTTGAGCCCATCATCGCAGACACCGTATCAATCCATCTCGTTGAAGGCCCCCC